AGTTGTCAAAGCACTTTGGGAGAGGGATCTGTGGAATGATCTTCGAGTCTAGCTTGAAGATTTACCTGGAAGTTGTCTCTCACTGTAGCTGTTTGAAGATTGTTAACTTGGAGTCTCCACCTTGGAATACCGTCCCTTTTAGGTTTGAGCTTAGAGTGAAGGTTAAGTTTACAACGCACAAGGCGATGATCTGTTTGACATTCCGCACTCGGGAATGACAAGCATTGCGAACATTTCTCTGTTGCACCAAGACATAGTCAATGAGGTGCCAGTGCTTCGATCTAGGATGCATCCAGGTTGTCTTCAAACAATCTTTCTACTGGAAGATAGTGTTGGTGATGGTGAACTGCTGCTCCGCACAAAACTCTAACAGAAGGAGACCATTATCATTGCAGTTTCCAACATCATGCTTTCCTAATACTCCTTTCCAGGCTTCAGAGTTCTTTCCTACTCTGGCGTTCAAATCACCAAGGATAATGATCTTATCATCTGCAGGAACCCTTTGGATACGGTGGCATAGGTCGGTGTAGAATTTATCTTTTTCGGCAGGGTCAGCTTGGAGGGTTGGGGCATATATACTAAAGAGAACAACATGTTGCTTGTTGTGTAGTGGAAGGTGTAAGGAGATAATACTATCGGAAAGACGTGTTGGTAAATGTTCAAGTTTAGAGACAATAGAGTTTTTGATCATGAAGTCAACTCCTGCAAGATGCCTTTCAGTTCTGGGTTTACCTGACCAAAAGAGTGTATAACCAGCACCATGTTCTCTAAGGCTGCCTTCCTCATGGAGACGAACTTCACTGAGAGCAGCAATGTTGATGTTGAGTCATGACAATTCGTGAGCAGAGCAACGCTCAGGATGTCCACTATCCGCGGTATCAAGCATGGTTTTTATGTTCCAGCATGCGAGTTTCAATTTGGACGCACCTTTGAAGGCAGGTGTATGCCTTTGTTTTCTCATAACTTGGCAGAAAAAGAACAGACTCTCACAGGTGGCTTGGTCAAATACAGACCAAAAGTAGCAGCATCTAATGAAGCGCGAATACACCCCATTTCATATCAAACCCTCTAAATTCCTTTAGCGTGTTTAGACTTTTTACAAGGTAGAATTGTAGAAAAACACCTCTGTTTAAGAACATTGCACCCTAGGCCTGAACAACAAGATACCACAACAGACAAAGCATCCTTCAAGCCCAGAACTTTGGAGGAGTTCCAAGGACTGTATGTGCTCTGAAGAAGATGAAGATAAAGAAGAAGGGGTCCCAATGACCCCAGACCCAATTCCCGAAGATGCATGTCGGGGGGAAGAACGGGGTAGAACCATGGGGTGGATAGATCTGGCATTGGATGGACCATAATTTAAAATCATAGAACCACTGCCTGGGTGTGCGCATGTCGTGTGTATTCCCCTGGGCCTGAGGGCCTGATTAAAGGAACTGCTCTTTTTATCTTATCTTATATACTAAATTGGTCTGGAGTCTTTTCTCCATAGTCTCTCGGTGCATCAGCTGCCAAGATTGGAATAGTTCCGGTAGACTTGGACTGGGAGCGGAAGGATGAGCTATTTATAGCCCAATGGGCCTATGAAACATGAGGGCATCAAGGAAAAGATGCGACATACAGATGGGCTCATGATTGAGGGGTGAACCTGACCATGGAGACCATCACATAGGTAATTCACTGTGGAGGTATACAGGAAGGTCGTGGAGCCTAGCAGCAAGGAAAGAATGTAAATAAGAAGTGAACATCCAATCATATGTGAAGGCTGGTAATAATATATAGATAACAGAGCTAAGAATAGTTTTGGTATGTACGATTCTACAGTCAGAGTGTGAGTGCAGTTGTGTGAGAACAAGATGTAATATACTGGAAGAAGTAATAAAAAGCTGAATGTAGGTCGTCATCATAAGATGCTCAGTTTTTATTTAACGGTCGTCCTCAACATACTACAACAACTGGTGACCCCAAGTGTTACGAGCCAGGAGGGATCACGACTAATACCGACGAGACTCCTACCCTGATCTAGAGTCAAAGTGGACTTGATTCCCGTCGAGGGATCGAAGATAATTCCCTGAGAGGAATTGAAGCCGCAGGTGAGGAAAAACCCGGTGAAGCGGAGAGAAGCGGGCGCTGCGAGAAAGGGGTCCGGACCTGAGTTTTCTTGACACCTGAGGCAGGTGAGCCACCGGGAACTTTGGGGGCATAATGGGACCAGTTAGAGTCCAGATGGAAGTGCATAGTTGACGCTTGAAATGCACTGTTTAGACAGTGTGACGATGATGATGGCTGCTCATGACGTGAAGTTCAAAGACACGGCGGTTCTGAGCGAGGTTTGCAGCGGCACAGGGCAGGGGGACACTGCGAAGTGGTAGTGCTAAGCAGCAGAGCGAAGCAGCAGCACTCTGCGACAAGCACTGGCGGGGTGGGGCGGCTCGGCTCTGCGGACCCGAGCCAGGGCTGGGGCTGCCTGAGATCGTGATCGAAACCGTTTCCCCGCAATGTGTGCTGAAGAAAAGCCGAGTCAGAGATGCAAGGCAGGTTGGAGGGGTTCTGAGAAAATATGGGAAGGCAGAAGCCCAGAGCACTCCTCCCTTCCCCCCCACACTGCGCTACAAAGGAAGGTATTTGAACAACACTATGCCGATGGCTATGACAGCCATTCACTCTGGAATTCCGTAAAGCCCGCCCACAACATTCTTTGAACTTTTAACAATGTTAATGAAATTGAACAAGAGGTAAAAATATGTTTGCTTTGCAAGTTATAATCGCATCAAAACAGTCACTCACAGATGGAAGACATGGAGTTAAACACTGCTTCTCTAAGACTCGAAAACAAAGCTGCTGTGAGAGTTGAAGGGACATCTTGTTGGCGGTGCTGGTCCAGGTTTTCTTTCCAGGGACGGCGGGGGATGTGGTCGCCTTCAGTAGGGGAGGTCGGGAGCCCAGTTAGCTCAGTCGGTAGAGCATGGGACTCTTCATCCCAGGGTTGTGGGTTCGAGCCCCACGTTGGACTCGCCGGAACGGTGGGCGGACCGGATGTGGTCCCGAGGCTGAGCCTGTCATTTTTCCCCTACCCCACACAGTCCCTCTGCAGAATTGCCTGACTCTCATCTGTTTCTGCCATGATAACTACTTAAAACTGACTGAACTATTAATGGGAACGGTTTGTAAGCTTTTTGTTAACAGTGGAAACAACTGGAAGAGGCAGATGGACAAGAGCCAAGAGTTAACTGCATTCCAGACATCAGACATACCAGCATCCGGAGGGCACGGAGACAGCAACAGCGTGGAGCACCAGCACAGACCGGAGTGGCTTTGCAGCTGTACTGAAAGCAAACCGGAGGCAGCGCAGGCAGCAGAGCCGAAGCGGGGCACACTGCTCCCTGACAGGATCGGGCCCCACCGCCTGCGGTGAAGAGGGTCCCGGAGGACCCAGAGCTGCAGTACTCAACAGTTATAATATTGCCAACACAGCTTTCTCAGCAGCGTGGCAAAGCTGCCAAATCTGCAGCTGCTAAACTAGAAGATAAAAAAAAAAAAAGGGGAACTTTGAAGAAAATTTCCATGTCCGTGACTGGTAGTGCTGTTCACTGAATTTGTCACAGTTGACAGAGAACTGGAACTTGCTGAGGAATAGTTAAGAGTTTAGGAGATCTGCTAATCGTCCTAGTTGCTGAGGTTTTGTAATTGCAAATTACACCTTCCTTCTTTTCTTTCCTTTTCCCCTTCCTGGCATTATGTTAAGGCACATTTCAGGTGGGAATTTAAAATTACTACAAGATGCAAAATGCAGAAGTTACTCACCAGTATTATACCCTTAAGTTCCTTAGCTTTTGGTATTCTAAAACAGGGCTAACTCACTCATAGAGCAAATTATTGTCAAGAGAGCATTTTACACACCAAACATATTTTCAAAACAAAAAAGTGGGGAGGAGAATATGCATGCACATAAACAGGTACTGGATCAAAAATGGATCTCATTTAGGTTTGTTAAGCTTTATATTCCTTGTATTGATTCCTCTTCAGGACAGGTGCAGTTGCTGAACATGACCACCGGAGATGGCAAACTGAGAAGCACACAGTCAGTAATACTTGGGATCTGAGATGTGTGGTTGAAATGCAAAAATATAATAAAAATTCTAGCTATGTGTGAGTGAGGAGTGATTGAGGTGGCCACCTTTTGAATGACTGGGAAAAAAGTTGTATGAGTGAGAAAAGCTGTGTAGATATCTATGTGTATGAACTTAAAATACTTTATGAGTGTCAAGATTTTAAGAGGATGTGTTGTTATATAAATTTGATTATGATAAGTTGATGCATGCTAGCCTTCAAAGATTGGAAGCAAGAATCAAAGCGTTGCAAGTTGATGCTGGTCAAGACTAGCTAAATAGTCTGTTTAGTAGATGGGAACTATCAAGATGACTTTTGTCTATAGTCAGAACAAGGTTGCTTGTGTTGCTTACTGTTGTAGTTGTGCTACTGATATTGCCATGTTTGGTGTCGTGTTTCAAAGGGCCCTGCAGAGGATGACCCAGGCAATTTTTGTGGCACAAATACAAAAAAGGGGGAATTGTGGAGGTATACAGGAAGGTCGTGGAGCCTAGCAGCAAGGAAAGAATGTAAATAAGAGGTGAACATCCAATCATATGTGAAGGCTGGTAATAATATATAGATAACAGAGTTAAGAATAGTTTTGGTATGTAAGATTCTACAGTCAGAGTGTGAGTGCAGCTGTGTGAGAACAAGATGTAATATACTGGAAGAAGTAATAAAAAGCTGAATGTAGGTCATCATCAGGTGGTGCCCAGTTTTAACGGTCGTCCTCAACATACTACTACAACAACAATTCACAAATGTGAAACGTGTGTCAATCAAGCGAGCCATGCGAGTAAAATCTGCTTGAAATAGAGGGTGGTGGCTGGATTTCCCATATGGTGAGGCCTGGTAAATTGACTACATTGGACTACTGCCACGAACACACCAAGGCAAGAGCTACATACCATTGTGGACGCAATGACTGGTTGGTTTGAGCTTAGAGTGAAGGTTAAGTTTACAACGCACAAGGCGATGATCTGTTTGAAATTCTGCACTAGGCATCACTCGGGAATGACAAGCATTGCGAACATTTCTCTGTTGCACCAAGACATAGTCAATGAGGTGCCAGTGCTTCGATCTAGGATGCATCCAGGTTGTCTTCAAACAATCTTTCTGCTGGAAGATAGTGTTGGTGATGGTGAGCTGCTGCTCCGCACAAAACTCTAACAGAAGGAGACCATTATCATTGCAGTTTCCAACATCATGCTTTCCTAATACTCCTTTCCAGGCTTCAGAGTTCTTTCCTACTCTGGCGTTCAAATCACCAAGGATTATGATCTTATCATCTGCAGGAACCCTTTGGATATGGCGGCGTAGGTCGATGTAGAATTTATCTTTTTCGGCAGGGTCAGCTTGGAGGGTTGGGGCATATGTACTAAAGAGAAAAACATGCTGTTTGTTGTATAGGTGAAGGTGTAAGGAGATAATACGATCGGAAAGACGTGTCGGCAAAATTTCAAGTTTAGAGACAATAGAGTTTTTGATCGTGAGGCCAACTTCTAAAAGATGCCTTTCAGTTCTGGGTTTACCTGACCAGTAGAGTGTATAACCATCACCATGTTTTCTAAGGCTGCCTTCCTCATGGAGATGAACTTCACTGAGAGCAGTAATGTCGATGTTAAGTCGTGACAGTTTATGGGCAATTAGAGCAGAATGACGCTCAGGATGTCCACTATCCCTGATATCAAGCATGGTTCTGATGTTCCAACATGTGAGTGTTAATTTGAATACACCTTTGAAGGTAGGTGTATACCTTTGTCTCTTTATCTTTATTTGACCGCATCAGAAGATGCTCATTGGCTGCGGTTAACCAGGTGAAGGGTGGTGATGAGTTTTGGTTAGGACACCTTTTCTAGGCCCCTCTCTATGTGGAGTAAGCCGTGCTCTCCTTGAAAAAGGTTAGTTGGTCATTCAGGATGTTGCCGAAAAAGACTGTCATCTCTGGGGTCAGTCTCAGGTGACGAATGTCCTGAACCGCCTGCATGCAGGGTTGTGTCTGCAGCTTCCAGTGCACCTTATCACCTGCCGTTTCGTCCCTCACCTGTAAATACAGGGTTTTACAAATGTGGATATATCCTTCGAGCCTGTGCAGTGGATTTTTTAGGTGAGTCACAGCATGCGCAGAAGTGGTCCCACCCTTTACTCCCAAGGTTCATCTGCCAGGGCCTAGTAAGTTTGGATGGTGACAACCAAGTCCTCAGGACGTAGGTTTAGTTAGAGTATCCTTCTCTTGGATGGATGGCCTTACAGGGCTAAGCAAGTTACATCTACCCAGGTTTGAAGTTAGAGTTGTCCTTCTCCTAGGATGACTGCCAGGAGGCTAGGGAGCCCATGCTGCCCATGGACACATTTTATCTGACCCTTCAGTTCTGACCTGTCTGTCATGGGAGACCCTACCGGAAGCATATACCACCACCAGCACAGTTTGCAACCTCATAAGGGCACACAAGCTTCTCCCCCACTAAAATGATTTGGACAAGCCCCCAGTCTCCTACACTCAAGCCCAGGGTCATTCCCTTGCCCTAAACACCCTTCCAAGACACTATAATTCTTAAACAAACCATTCCTGGGCAGAAGCCACAGGCGAGCCAAACCCAACACATCCCACCGTCACTGCAACAATGCTGGAATAGAAAGTAATCCCGACACACCCCCGGGTGGGGCAGGCACACAGATAAGGGGTCCCCATACCCACCCAGGGCTCAGGTACCTCCCACAGTCCCAGACCAGCCTTAACCCCCCCAACCCCCAGAAAAACCCACTACCCACCCCAACCTTACCCTCCCCCCCACTGTGTCACCACAGGTTCCCTCTCACACCACCCACCCTCGGTCCTCCAAATGAGACTACCCCACCCACTCTCCCCCTGGTCTGGGTATCCCTCAGGCTCACCCAGCCCCCTCCTGGTTCCCGCCCAGCCCAGCCTGACCCAGCCCAGCCCTGCGACCTGGGCAGGTGGTTATTTAAAAAAAACCACAAAAACCCATTTAAAAAAACACAAAAACACCCCCAAAACCCCCTAAAAAAACAAAAACCAAAACAAAAACCAAGACAAAACCAAACCAAACCAAACCAAAACCCCAAAACCAACAATAGGAAAGCCTGATTTTACAGGTTTAGGTGTAATACAGATGAAACAAAGTCAGCAATGAAAAAAGTTCATTGGTTTACATACAGTATTGTATTCAGCACAGACAGTTCCTACCAAATCTGCCAGATTACACCTTGGATTTCCGGTAGGTAGACTTTGGCCTGTTTAGGACATTGATTGACAGAGTCCCTTGGGAGTCAGTCCTGAAGGGCAAAGGTATCCAGGAAGGCTGGATGTGCTTTAAAAGGAATTGTTAAATATTCAGGAGTAGGTTGTCCCCATGTGAAGAAAGACAAGTTATCGGGGAAAAAGATCAACCTGGTTAAACAGAGAACTTAGGTTGGAACTTCAGGAAAAAAAGAGAATCTTTCATCTCTGGAAGGAGGGTCAGGTAACTTGGGAGGACTATAAGGACGTCACAAGGTCATGTAGGGAGAAGATTAGAAGGGCCAAAGCCCAAATAGAACTTGATTTGGGCACTGCAATGAAAGAGAACAAAAAGTTTCTATAAATACATTGGCAACAAGAGGAGGGTCAAGGAGTGTCTCCATCATTTGTTGAATGCAAAGTGTAGTGTAGTGACAGGGTATGAAGAAAAGACAGAGGTACTTAATGCCTTCTTTGCCTCAGTCCTTAATATCAAGACCAGTTGTTCTCATGATACCCTGTTCCAAGAGCTGGAAGTTAGGGACGGGGAGCTGAGTGAAGCCCCCATAATCCAGGAGGAAATGGTTAGTGACCTGCTATGCCAATTAGACACTTATAAGTCTACGGACCCTGATGGGATCCACCCCAGAGTAATTAGGGAACTGTCAAAAGAACTTGCCAAACCACTCTTAATAATTTACCAGTAGTCCTGGTTAACCAGAGAAGTTCCAGCTGATTGGATATTAGAAAATGTAATGCCCATCTACAAAGAAGAGTTGGAAGGATCATCCAGGGAACTACAGGCCTGTCAGTCTCACCTTGGTTCCAGGAGAGGTTATGGAACAGATTGTCCTGAGTGCCATTGCATGATACATGAAGGGCAACCAAGGATCAAGCCCAGTCAACATGGATTTATGAAAGGCAGATCCTCCTCGACCAACCTGATCTCCTTCTATGACAAGGTGACCTGCTTGGTAGATAAGGGGAGGGCTGCGGATGTGGTCTATCTGGACTTCAGTAAGGTGTTTAACACTGTCTTCCACAGCATTCTCCTAGAAAAACTGGCTGCTCGTGGTTTGGATGGGTGGACTCTTTGATGGGTAAAAAACTGTCTGGATGGTCTGGCCCAGAGAGATGTGGTGAATGGAGCTAAATCCAGTTGGTGGTCAGTCGCTAGTGGTGTTCCCCAGGGCTCAGCTTTGGGGCTGGTTCTGTTTAACATTACTGATGATCTGGACAAGGGGATTGAGTGCATCCTCAGTAAATTTGCAGACAAGTTGGGTGGAAGTGTTGATCTGTTCAAGGGTAGGAAGGTTCTACAGAGAGACCTTGCCCAACTTGACGAATGGGCTAAGGACAACTGCATGAGGTTCAATAAGGCGAAGTGCCAGGTCCTGCACTTGGGTCGCAGGAACCCCATCAACAATACAGGTTTGGGGAGGAGTGGTCTGAGAGCTGTTCAGCAGAAAGGGACTTGGGGGTGCTGGTTGACAGCTGACTCAATATGAGTCAGCAGTGTGCCCAGGTGGCCAAGAAGGCCAATGGCATCTTGGCCTGTATCAAGAAGAGTGTGGCCAGGAGGACTAGGGAAGTGATCGTCCCCCTGTACTTGGCACTGGTGAGGCTGCACCTTGAGTACTGCATTCAGTTTTGGTCCTCTCACTTCAAAAAGGACGTTGAGGTGCTGAAGCCTGTCCAGAGAAGGTCAATAAGGCTCGTGAAGGATCTAGAAAAGATGTCTCATGAAGAACAGCTGAGGGAGCTGGGTTTGTTTAGTCTAGAGAAGAGGAGGCTCAGGGGGGACCTCATTGTTCTGTACAACTACCTGAAAGGAGGTTGTAGCGAGGTGGTGGCTGGTTTCTTCTGCCATGCCTATAGTGAGAGGACTAGAGGAAATGACCTTGAGACAGAGGAGATTGAGATTAGATATTAGAAAAAAATTTTCACTCTTAGGGTGGTCAGACATTGGAATAGATTGCCCGGGGAGGTGATGGAGTCACCATCCCAGGAGGTGTTCAAGGGGCGTCTGGATCTGGCACTGGGTGATATGGTTTAGTGGTTAAAGTGGTAGTGCTAGGTGGTGTAAGGACTTAAAGAGCACAGTTGCCTGTCTGAAACACTGTCAAGGCTGCAGAAGGAACTTGCCATAAACCACCATGGTGGGAACTTGAAATAAGCACAGTAGGGAGGGGATTGTGACAGGAAGATGCTAATTCCATGTCTGGTAGAGGCAAGATCTAGTTAGCACATCCTGGTTAACGCATCCAGAAAAAAATTCCCATTGTGGTAAACTAAGAAAGGAAGCAACTGCTCATACACATATCACCCCAAATTATGGGAACGGCATCTGCAAACACCCCATGGATACCCAGAACTTGGACTGTATAAAGGTGGTACCCTCAAAAGAATGACTCCAGGACCCCCACCACCAAGAAGCCCAGGGTGCTGAAGGATCAACAGGATGCCACTGGATTCAGGGGTAGTGACTATTTTCTGCTTGATCTTGCTCTTTGTCTCCCCCTCTTTTCTATTTCTTTCTATCTCTCTACTTCACATTCATTGTTAAATAAAATCCATATTATTGAAATGAGAGCAAGGCCTAAAAGAGTTAACTGAGATATCTTGCTCTGTTGAGAAAAGCCTCCCTGATACCCACTCTGCTTGTACTAAGAAAAACTCATTCTGTTCTGTTTACTGGACCTAAATCTAAGAAGAATACTAGAAATGCTATACAATCAACCTAGAGGCCATAAATTAAGACAAGGCAGACATTTGAATAGGAAAAATAGGCCTGGAGCCAAAGGCTTTTCCCAAACATCAGTGAGCGGGGCAAGAACAATGAAAACGCAAGGAGGTCAAATCAAGGAAGATGAGAAGATGACCCCAGACTCAGTGCTGAAGGCAGGAATGACCACTACCAAGAGAAGAATCTGGAAAGCACCACCCTAAGCTCTGCCTGGACTCCGCCCATACTCCACCTATTATCAATATGCATGATTAGATGTTGTAATCATATGAATATGTATGTTAAGATGTTGTAATCATGGAGTTAGACTGTATAAATTACCCTGTTTTGTATCGATGCTTTTGAGCAAGTTTGTTCAGCGCTAGTTGGTTTGCTCCCAACATTGTCTAAATAAATACCTTGCTGCTTAAAGATAAAAAAAGTCTCTGAGCAGTTCACATTCTGAGGTTTTTTGACTTCATTATTGACTTCAGTATATGGTCTCATTTGCACCTTAATTTGGGTAGAGGCATATCACTAATCAGATCTTAACATGAAATTGATGTCATGGACAGGATACTGTTCCCTGACCTCAAGTGCAGATTGACAGTAGTACAGATCCCTCTGAAGAAAATTTTGTCGTACTCCCTGTGGGAACTTTTAGAAATTTTGCCACGGATTCCCTCTGAGGGAAGTCATGGGTTCCTCTGTGGGAAATTTCAGTTCCCTCTGAGGGAATTTTTAGGGAAAACAGCTGTCCAGGGTGGCCAGTGTAAAGAAAACATTTTGTTGTCTTTCCTCGAAAAAATTTTTAGTTGCCCCTCTCCTCCAGGGGTGGAATGGACACAAGAAAATTGGGATAATGAGCAGGCAATAGCGGACCATGTGACTAGTTCACTAGCCAAAAGAGGGTTATGACCAGGAAAAGGTAAATCAGTTGTATGTGCCTTTTTGGGTGCTGCCCTTAAGGCAGCATAAAAGGAGCA